TTCATATGAGGTAATATTATCCAGATCCTTACAATTATAGCTTTAAATTATTTATGATAGGGGATATTACTCACTACATAGTATTCAGTAGGAAAAAAAACAGGATAGAGTATAACTGCAATTATGTTAAAATACACAGATTTATTTGCATGAACACAAATTTGAAGGGACATATACCAAAATATTAACTGTGCTCACCTGAGTTGTAGCATTATGTACCAGTTTTTCTTGTTGAATTTATAAGAGTTGTCTACAATGAGTATGTATTAATTGTAACAGAAAAAAACATGGTTCTTCATTTCCTATTTCTGCTTAATCTCAGCATTTAGTTAATCAAGATGACTTTGAATCCTGGTCCTGTCATCCAATACTCTTGCTATCCTAGACACGCACAGAACTGACAGGGGACAAAACCAAAACGAGAGCTCTGTGGCACAGCACTAGAGACTGCCCACTCCATGGTGACAAGAGCTCAGTATGAGTAGCCTGGACAGCCATTCAACCAGTTACAAATCCATCTTACTGCTGCATCAACCAGACCCTATTTATTTCTCTTGAACCCAAGAAACCTCATTAGACTCAAAGTCCTTACTAAACGTTCTTCCACCTAAACTAGATTGTTTTCCAAGACTTGGTAGGGTGACCCATGTGGGCTAGTAGTTATCTCAATGTCATTTTTGAAGGCCCCACATCAATAAGAAGCTTACCGGCCTGCCATTTCCTGAATCCCCATCTTGCCACATTGAAGAAATAAAACAGGACAACATTTATTATGTTGCTACCCTTACCTCCCCGCTCCCATTTGTCAGGGCTCCTCCCAGATCCTAGAGTGATTCTGTGGTCACTCCTGAAGCTGCTATCAGGACCCCAAAACCTGATCTGTGAGAACCTGGCCACCTGAATTCACAAAAGGCAACTCAGTGCAGTCTCTCACTTCTCCCAAAGCCTGCCTTAGCCCTCTTGCCAACTCTGTTCTTCCTTTACAGAGATAAAGGCAAGATAAGTGTGTTGTGCCTCCAAGAACATTCCACCACCTGCTTCAAGCAGGAATCTCCCCCTGCCTGTCCTGGTTGTCTTCTTGGTCTGAAGATGGCTTAAAAAAAAAAAAAAAAAAAAAAAAAAAAAAAAAAAAAAAAAAAATCCCTTTATGTTGTCCAGCTGACCCAGGCCTGTTGCCTCCCCACCCAGAGCTCTGCCTACTGAACAAATTGCCTCCCTCGTCGACTATTACTCAAGGCTCAAAGCCAAGATGGAGACCAGCCAGGAAGAAACAAAACTAGCCTTTTATTCAAGCCAGGACAATTCACGCAGACCTCTGAAGGGCTTGAAGGGAAGGGGAATTCATGGTTCTGGCAGGGGTCAGCTTGGCATGAGCTGACACTGGCAGACACCACAATACCTTTGCTGGTAAGACACAAAGCAGACGGCTCCATCAAATAATGGGCTCTAAGCAGCTCAGGTTTCACTCTGAGTCAAGGGCCCCCTTGGAAGGAGAGGCCCACCCTATGTGTCATCGGCCCTACCCAGTGCCCTCTGCACTGCCCCCAACACCCTGCCTTTCCTTTCGGCCGGATATGCAACCCCATCCTGCAGAAGGGTCACCCTGCCTTAGCACAGCTCCTATTTCCTGCCCCTGGTGACTCCTCTGAAGTCCATTGTTCCCATGAAGTTTGGGTCAAAGGAAGCTGGGTCCCCACCCATGGGGGCCCGCCTACCCTCAGCTCAGCGAGGGCGCTGGCCCACACCACAGGGAGCCAGGACCCATCCTCCGGCCTTTCCAAGGGCCTGTATTATAGATAGGAGGGCACGGTACCTATCTTAGGGACTGGAGTTCCAGTGGAAATGTTCCCAAAGATCCAGTGCTAGCAGCTGAAGGCTCCAGGACCGTATCACCCAGGAGGTGACTCGAATCTCCCTAATATCTAAATGGAAAAACCAAAAGCAAGGGAAGAACTGTCATTTCAGAAGAGTTCAGGAAAAGCTCCAGAGTTGGAGACCGCACTGCCCAGTGACAAAGCCCTGCCCCCACCTCCACCTGGGCCCCTGAACTGGTTAAACCCCGGGGGGGGGGGGGGAAGGGGGGGGCAGGAGAGCAGCTGTTCAGCTCCAATTTCAGAGCTTTAAAGGGAGCTGTTCTCCAAACCCCTGCCAACAAAGGGTCATGGGGGGCAAAGCAAGACAGACAAGGTAAAGCCACCCTCACAAGCCCTGAATTTCCCACTGCCCCCAGACTGACCTCAACTACAGGAAAGGCAATGGAGCAGAGCTGGTGACCCGTGTCCTCCACTTCCACTGAGAAGGAGGAGAGGAGCCACGGATTAGGCAACAGGTATTGCTGTGTGACAGTCACCAGTACAAGACTCCAGAATGGAGGCAGAGGGAAGTTGCGACACTTGCATCCCAGAAGATCTAGAAAGATAAGAAGACCCTTCTCCACCTGGCTGAGTAATGTACAGACCAGAGAGGAAAAAGGAGGATGCATTTAAAGACCCTTTGAGGGTCCCTTCCAAAGTTGGCATTCTCAGATTCTACAGTTCTGTGCTTTCTGCTGGGAAGGAGGGGAGAATTTCTGCTTCCTATCTGAGCCACAGGATGGGAGACATTGCCAAGCCAGACTGTTCCAGCCTCCACACCTGTTAGATGAAGTGGCTAGGGGGTCTGAGCATTGGGAGCCACAGAGCAGGAGACAGAATGCAAAGTCGAAACAAAATGGACTCTAGTCCCAGCTCTGTGACTCACCAGTTGTGCAATCTTAGGCAAGTTACTGTCCCGCTAGGGGCCTCGGTTTCCCCATCTTTAAAATGAGGGAGTTAGAGGCTAACACTAGAGTATCCAATAATGTTCAGCAGATTCACCCTGAGGTCAAAGCAAAACTGAAATTAGAACAAAGGTGTTGGAGGACTGCCTGGGTAGCTCAGCTGGTTAAGCATCTGACTTCTGCTCAGGTCATGATCTCACAGTTCATGAGTTCAAGCCCTGCATCAGGACCTGCACTGACAACTCCGAGCCTGGAGCTGCTTCAGAGTCTGTGTCTCCCTCTCTCTCTGCCCCTCCTCCCCCTTCTCAAAAATAAATAAACATCAA